CCGGATTGAAAAGACTCAGTGAAAATATATATTTTTTAAATGCAAAATATCAAAAGAATGCACATCCTTGGCTATTAAAGAGGAAATTCAGGGATAGCACAGTTCTACAAGGAGAGAATAAACAAACACCCGGAACTGAAGAGCAAATTATGGGATGGAAGAAATTAAGACAGCTTTAGGGAACCCAAACACCTTTTTTGGCATAACCCCATGTGTTTTATTTATTTAATTCCACTTAAGCACCGCCTGACTCCATACCAAATCTGGACGATTCATCATCTAATAAACCAGAAAAACACAATAGAAAACATTTTTTTTTGTTTTAACCAAGAAAGAGGTTTAATTCAGAGCACCTCAGTCTTTAAAAGCACCAAGAAATAAAGGATTAAAACCAGAAGGCTGGAAGAAGTAAAACTGCACATATCAAGCAATGTACAACGATATTTGGATGTGGTTGGTGAAACTGTTTACCCAAGTTGCAAACAGTGAGCAATGCCATTGAGGACTCAGCTTTCCTCCCATTCTTACATCAGCAACAATTGGAAAATTGAATATCAAATCTTGCAGAATAGTAAGGAAGACCCTCAACCTAGGACAAATTTCTCTTTGATTTTCTGCCTTGCAAACGCCGGTAACTATTTCTGTGAAATGGGCCTAAAGTTCCAACATTAGGAGTAAGAGTGACTCTGTGCACACAAACACTATTAACCAAGTCGTTTGTGAACTGAGCAGCTGAATTATTCACCTATCCTGTTAATCTTGATCAGTTTTAAGCTTAAGCAAGGTTTTGTTTTTCTTTTTAATTTGGCTTTCAACAACCAGGTTAAATGCATTGTGCAAACACAGCCAGCACATCTTATTCATGCAATATGAAATTGATCGCCAATCGCTTCGCAAATGACACTTTTAATCTTCCATTTTTACCATTCTAGTTGTGGTTGAACTTCTTCCCTGGAACACACTGAAAATTCCAGAATACGATCGGATGGTTAAGAATGCTACCGATTTGCTCATAACCTTCTCTCCTGCCTTTTCTAAGCTTCCAGAATTATTTCAAGTGATAAAACAAGAAGGTTCAAATCCAAGTGGCCGTCAACATGCTTGGCTCAATGAGTCAACATCCAAAGTTTTCATCTGAAACTTTTGAGCGACGTCAAGAGAAACGCCTTGTCCCTCTCCGAAACATTCCCACCAGCCAGTCATGTCTCTGCTCAGAAACATGTCCAAGTTAAGGAAAGTCAACACAATTTGGCATCACAACCACTCCCTTTAGCATCCTTCTTGGTGGACCTGTCCCAACAACAACGAAACACAAGGAAGAGAGGGCGTTCAAAAGGTAAAGAAAAGTACGGCATTTTCAACGCGCCCGGTGGATGCCGTTCTTTGGCCAAACATGGCACCATTGATGTTCTCCAACCTCAAAAAATCATCTAAAAAGAATGATCTAGACTCACCCCTGGCAATGTCTTCTGTTCGTGCAATGCACTCTGAGCTTTAAGAGCAGATTCCCTTTCACAGTACGTTAAGAAGGCACAACCTGTAAAAAGAAAAGAAAAGAAATGGAAACATGAGAACATGTTTAGTTTTTTCCCTAGATCTAGTCTCTGATAGGGCCAAATCTTCTCCAGGAGCAGATAAGCCTACTTCTAAATATGGAAGGTTAGTTGAACAATTATGCCTACAAGCTTAAATCAATCCCCTTTAAACTCACCTTTTTAAAGTATTTTATTAGTTTTCTATCATTACAATTCATTGGGGTTAACGAACAACATGTTGTCTGTTTATAATATAGAATTAGAAAATTGGCAAAGCTTATGGGAAAGAAACTTTAAAATAACAAAAGCGGCGTCCTATAAAGAAAACTTACATAAAACGTTTTATAGATGGCATTTAACGCCGGTGAGATGAGCAAAAATGTTTAAAAATATGTCTACTAAGTGTTGGAAATGTAAACAAAAACCAGGTACTTACTATCATATCTGGTGGACATGCCCTAAAGCTGTTAGCTTGTCAGCTTATAATTTCTTTCCCAAAGATTTTGCCATTTCTCTAATTCTATATTATATTCCAAAACATTTGCCCATATAATCATTGTTTCTTTCCCTTGTTCGTTTTCCATTTTTAAATTCAATAAAAAAATAATACAATTTGTTTCATCATTTTTTTCATCAGAAGTCAACAACACCTGGTTAAACACTGTCTGATCTTTATAAAAGCCGTATGCTTTAATATCTTTGTCATACCTCGATTGCATTTGCAATCGGGGCCACCATGATAAGTCAATGCCTTGGTCTTCTAGTGCTTGTTTAGATTTTAATTTCCCATCTGTATTAAGAATATCCTTATATGTTAATTTTTTTTCAAATTAACTAGGTTTGGGTGAGCAAAAGCTTCCATCGTTGATAGCCATCCTGGGATTTACATATAATTTTTTGGTTTTATCTTTTCCCATACAGATAATAATGTGTTTCTTATGCAATGGTTTTGAAAGTATCTATGAGTTTTATTCTTTTCATACCATAAAAATGTGTGCCACCCAACTTGTAAGTCATATTCTTCTAAATATAACAACTTTTTGTTTCTAAGGGTTATCCACTCTTTTATCCATGTTAGAGCACATGCCTAGTAATATAGGACCCAATCTGGTAGTACAAATCCTCCATTTTCTTTGGTTTCTTGTCGCATTTTCAGTTTAATTCTGCCTTTCTTTCCTTGACAAATAAATGTCAGGATCAATCTATTCAAATCATCAAAAACCACTTTTTTCCTAATTTTTACAGGTACTATGTCATGGTTCCGATAGATGAGACTGGTAAAAACAGAAATTCCAAGGCAAAAGGTTTCCTTAAAGAACATATTTATTGGCTATAAAGTATTGGCATGATCCAAAGTGAAACCAAGACTGAAATTCCCTCCCAACTGTTACAAAGTTACAAAGTTGAACTTCTCACCCCAATAGGATGTCATAAACCACATTCTCCAATAAACTAGTTTGACGGGCCTTTTAACTGGAACGCTCAGCCCGCCAAAACCCAAGCAGCAATGACCTTGGTTCCCACAGGACAACTTATTGTTATGTCTAATCTTAAAAGCACACATCCCCCCTCCCAGCTGTGGCTACCAAAAATGAAGTTGCAGCATTGACATACTGTTTGGAATTAAAAAAAGAAATTTTGGTAAAATATTCATTTTCACAATGGCTATTCTTCCTAGCACTGATCATTGTAGGTTTTTCCATTTTTCCAAGTCTGTTTTTATGTGATTTAGTAATTTTATGCAATTATCTTAAAGTCACCTTTGAGTGGTGAAAAGGTTAACTCTTGTTCCCAAAATGGGTCCTAGCCTGGCCCCAAAGCCAATCAAGACCACCAGACACGAGGAATTGCATTTTCAGCTTCTTTTATTGGAATACTCCAGCAAAAGGGTCTCAGCAGCTGAAGGAGCCGAGACTCCGAACAATGCACAAACACAAAATTTTATACAGCTATGATTAAGGAAGACAACACCCTAAGAATCAATCATTGGTTCCTTGACACCTTTCTTTTGATTGGATTCTTTTACTTTACCTTCCTTCTTCCTACACTGCATATTTATGTTAATAAACTTTCTTATCAAAAGAAGTGTAGTCTTTTGCTATTATAATAAGCTAGAGGTCACCAAAGTTTCTATATCTACGTGCCTCAGCTAGCATCCTTCTAACGTGTCCTTCAAACTAGTAATTTTCTTGTTGCTAGGCTGTAGTGTCCCACAATTTGTTGCTGGTCTTGTTACACTCATCGCAGCTGCAACTTTTCATTTTGGCATTTCCTTTAACAAAGTTTCCTAATTCCAATCTGAGACCATCACAATTTCCAAGAAAAGTCACAGGCTTATCCATGAGTCAGAAGACTTAGCAAGCAGTGGGATTGTCACATTATTATTATTTTTTGCTGCTGCGACAATTATTGCTTCTCAGCTTGCCAACAAACTTGGAGAGGGGGGAAAGGAAAAGGATTGAAATGCAGACTTCAAAGATTAAGAAAGCAGACCATGAGAATCAAGGACAGTTCACCAAATGCCTGCCCAGACCCAGAGACACTTTCTCATAACAATATTTTCTCATCCAATTGGGCAATGTGAACTGATCCAGAGGTAGGAGGGAGAATTCTATGCTTTTACTATATGGGTTTGGGTGGGGTTTTGCCAGAGCTGGTTTTGCTTTCATATGTGCCAAAATGATGTACTCAATAAAGTTTTGCATTAAGAGATCGGATCGTCCCGAGGGTGCTTGCTTGATTGGGTTTGTCGGTCAAAAAAATTGACAGGGATCTTTTGATTCCCAAACCAGAAAGATGATGATATTATTATTATTATTATTATTATTATTATTATTATTATTATTATTATTATTATTATTATTATTATTATTATTATTATTATTATTATTATTATTATTATTAATAATAATAATAATAATAATAATAATAATAATAATAATAATAATAATAATAATAATAATAATAATAATAATAGTTGGAAGAAACCTTGGAGGTCATCTAGTCCAACCCCCTGCTCAGGCAGGAAACCCTATACCATTTCGGACAAATGGCTGTCCAGTTTCTTCTTAAAAACTTCCAGTGTTGGAGCATTCACCGCTTCTGGAGGCAGGTTGTTCCACTGGTTAATTGTTCTCACTGTCAGGAAGTTTCTCCTTAGTTCTAGGTTGCTTCTCTCCTTGATAAGTTTCCATCCGTTGCTTCTTGTCCTGCCTTCAGGCGCTTTGGAGAATAGCTTGACTCCCTCTTCTTTGTGGCAGCCCCTGAGATATTGGAACACGGCTATCATGTCTCCCCTCGTCCTTCTCTTCATTAAACTAGACATACCCAATTCCAGCAACCGTTCCTTATATGTTTTAGCATGATTTGGCAAATGTAAGAGCCCCATGAAGAGGGTGGATTCTCTAAATCAGAAGTCTCTAAACGTGGCAATGTTAAGATTTGTGACTTCAACTCCCAGAATTCCCCAGCCAACTCTGTTATACTGTTATTCTATCTCATTTTATCATCTTTCTTCAGTATCTGTCTGTCTTCCGTCCGTCTGTCTGTCCGTCCATACATCCATCCATTTATATTCAATTAATGTGAGGCTAACGCGTATACAACTGAGGCTGGTACACAAAACAGTTCCACTCAGGAGTTTAGACTCTGTTCATCTCCATGCGTGCAAAATAGGGAGAAGGAAGTTTCCATCAGAGGAAAACATTTTTTAAAAAGACGGGGCTTTTGCTTGTTTGTGATTATAAGCTTCCTTTTAGGAACGATATGCAGAATTTGTCTAGTTTTACTTCGCTTTCCCTAGCTACTCTGTGACTTTGTTTACCGTACATTTAAATTACATTCTTTTTATCCTGAGCTGTAAAATTTCATTAATATACACATAAACATTTCTGTTTAAGATTTTCCTTTGCCTATTTCTGTGGAACTGGAACCAATTAACCTGTTTTCCATAGAAATCTAACTTGGAATTGCACAAATTCAAACAACACAACCATTTTGTGGGATTCATTAACCATGCTGATCGAGACCTACCTATGTATCATCATATATATATATGTATGTCTATATAGTCCATTGAGCTTAACGGATGTTAATGGGGTGTGATGATTTATTGTTTATTTTAATTTATGTCTCAATTTATACAGCAGCCCATCTCAAATTCAGGACTCTGAGCATCTTGTTGTATACCTCGAGTAGAGTAGAGTAGAGTAGAGTAGAGTAGAGTAGAGTAGAGTAGAGTAGAGTAGAGTAGAGTAGAGTAGAGTAGAGTAGAGTAGAGTAGAAGAACAGAGCAGAGCAGAGCAGAGCAGAGCAGAGCAGAGCAGAGTTGTAAGGGACTTAGTGGTCTTCTAAGTCCAACCACCTGCTTGAGTAGGAGACCCTATACCCGTGGTGGCAAACCTATGGCACACGTGCCACAGGTGGCACGCAGAGCCCTCTCTGTGGGCACGCGCGCCGTAGCCCCAGTCCTAGGCCTTCAGCTGGATTTTATAAAACCTTTTCGCTTTAGGTCTCCGCCATGTGCAAAAAAAAAGGTTCAATCAATCAATCAATTTCAACTTCTCGGGGGGGGGGGGATCTCGCAAAGTTGGAATTGATTGATTGAACTTTTTAGTCCCACCCAGTCTGCCATTACCACTGCAGCCACACCCACCCAATGGGCCACGCCCACCCAATGGACCATGCCCACTCAATGGACCATGCCCACCCAATGGGCCACGCACACCCAGCACCCGATGCTACATAAGTGGGTTTTGGGTTGCAGTTTGGGCACTCGGTCTCTAAAAGTTTCGCCATCACTGACCTATATGATTTCAGACAAATGGTTGTCCAGTCTCTTTTTGAAAGCCTCCAAGGATGCAGTATCTACAACCCACAGCCAGCTAGAGAGAGGCTGTAATGATAGCAGTCTTGCAATATTTGAGGGGCTCCTATGAGGGGGTTAAACTATTTTCCAAAGCACCAAAAGGCAAGATAAGAAACAATGGTTGGAGACTAACCA